TCTATAATATATATATATATATATATATATATATATATATATATACGTACATATTTTTTTAAAAATGATCGAGGCATGCATCCGCAAACGAACGGATTTGAAAACTCCATTTGATTTATTTTTCAAGCCGCTCTTGCGACCACAACATTCCTGCCACCACCGTTTATCGATTACGAATTTCAGGAATTGTTTATAAAGCTGAACATCTGCTCGAAGAGGAGCGAGCTAACCAGAAATTCGCTAAATATCGCTCGTTCATCATGGGCCAGATTACAAATGCCAAGGCCTCCAGCTTTACGACATCGCATAATTCGCTTTTATAGCAGAAAGACGGCATTACTTTAGCGTAATATAAATTCAAGTACTAGTAGCGAACGCTGTGTAGATCGTTTCGGAAAATGTCTTTCTCTTACTTTCAAATCGAATATCATTCTCATCTCGGCATTAATCTGCCAACCAAGCGGCGAGATTCAATAATTATTAAAGCTTCATTATTCATTAGTCTGAGTTTGAAATGAAATAACAAATAACTAAATAAATATTTCACCAATCAAAGATATTGAAATCTATCCTTGAATTCTCGTATTAATATATAAATTAACAAAAATGAGACTATGATTATTTATGGAGATAATGATCATCTGTGAAGACCGAAAGAATTCTCTGATGTTCGATTTTACATTCATCATAACTTCATTCTCCTCAATTATTTTTTATAATCTTCCATTGAAAAAACAACTACTAGACAAAACTTTCCGAATCTAATTTCGTATATCTTACGATAAACTCAAATTTATCGACGGATTTTAGTCTTGGATACACATGATTACGTAGTAATCTTGCAGCCCGTAACTTCTTGTTTCTTGAATCGTGCCGTCTAGTTTTGGCAGTAAAATGTAATTTGCGAACAGCAGATTGTTCTGGGACGTAGTAGAAATTACAAGAAAATCTCGTTACAAAGTCCTTATGGAGTCGTTACGCAGTTCAATTTTTAATTCAAATTCTCGTCTAGAAATTTTGCTATACTTAATTCTTTATATAATTAATATAAATGTTATAAATAAGATAAATAGCAAAAAATGTTATAAAGTTATATTAAATGATAAAATAATATTAACATAAAGAAAATTGTTTTTAGATAAATTCAAAAGAATTATTTTTTACATTAATATAATAGACATAAAAAAGTTACATATTTTATTGAAACTCGTATATTAATATAAGATCAATTGAATTGTAAATAGACTGTTGAATAAATAAGCAATATAAATTTTATTATTAAAATTATTATTCGAAAAATTCAATCTTTAAATATATATACTAAATATAAAAAACAAACGCAAACGCAATCACATATCATAAAACATTTTTATTTTAAATATACATAAAAAGAATCAAAATTTGTCATATATATTTCGCAAAATAAAATGAGTTTTACAATCGGTGCAAATTATTATTTGTTATTTTAAACACATCGTTTCAAGAGAATAATTAAATTCGAAAGAATAGAAAGGCAAGCATTTCAGCATTTTTTTTCTGTATGGAAATAAACAAGATAATCAAATGTTATAAAACAAATGTTATAAAATCTTAAATGCAAACAATTTTTTAACAGAATATTATAAATAGTAATGAAAAAAATCAAATGAGAGATATCTAAAATGGCTTCGTATTTTTTTCTTTTTTTCTTAAACTACGATACTGATAAGAAATAATAATCTGCTTCTTCGCAATTTGTTTAATGATTTTCATGATATTTTGTCCAATTATCTAATAAAATTCAATTAAGATTTAATTTTACGGTTGACAAAACTATAATAGATAAAAGAAGGAAAAAAATAGAAAGTAGGAAGAAAGACGTCACATAAGATTCGAATCATAGTGTCAAAAATAATATTAGACATGAAATATTGTTTGCAGAGTTTTTTTACAATTTTGTATTTATGTTTAATATTAATCTCTCTATTACAACAAAACATTATGGGTTTTACATAAAAAAAAATAAAAAATATTGCTCTGTAATAAAATTTATAAAATTTGTAATAAAATAAAATTAAATTATATTTGTTTTCTTCAAATTATATTTGTTTTCTAAAATAAATTCAAAAAGTTCTGTAAAATTCTTTCGTAGATTATAAATACCTTTGCAGGACCAACATAATTAATGTCTTATGATATTGTATTCGGCCTTCTTCGGATCCAACTAGAATATTCTCAAGGGTACTTTATGATAGAAATTGGATTCTTCTTGAGAAGAGTCTCGATCTAGTACTAGATCCCAATAAAATCGGATCTTAATTAGATCAATTAAGCCCAGATCAAGTTTAAGCGTCAAATTTGAATATGAGTAAGATTTATATTGTGATACGAGTCGAGTAAATTTCAAATTTCATTCTTGCATGTTCTGAGCTTTGCGAAGCTATTTTGTTATAATAAAAATAATGAGATGTATCATATAGCTGTTAGTAGATGTTTTTGAATTAGTTTTCGAATTTTCGCCCTTTTCTGTGCTGTTCAAAATGCAATTAAATCCGAAAAATATCACTTTACAAGTAAACAGATGAACAGTGGTGACACGGATGGAAAAAAATATTCCATTTGTATTTGTTTTGATAAATTCATATTATTAAAATTTTATTGAAAATGCCGCTATTTTCTACCAAATATTCTCGGCTTATTACATTGAATTGATTGTTTTACAAAAAAATATTACAGAAAAGTATATGTAATTTTTTAAATTTTTAAAATAATTTTTTAAGATTCCTAGATTCTAAGATTAATATTATCTTTAGGATGAATACTTATTGAACAATAAATTAATTTACTTTCAGGATAATCAGTGCATGAGGATTAAAATTTTAGGCGACTGCTACTATTGTGTTTCTGGGCTTCCAGTATCCCGTCCAAATCATGCCTATAACTGTGTGAACATGGGACTCCAAATGATCGATGCCATCAGGTAATAATCAAAGAAAATATCAAAATTATGTCACGTTGTTAACGAGTGACAGCTCGTTAGGTATCTACACGTTTTTTCGTTATTAATTTTTTTTGCTTGAAAGTTGATAAAGGAAAAAAGAATATAAAAATAATTGCTACATTTTATATGCAAAAAATTTATAGAAGAGATCTCTCCGTGAAGGCACATAGAACATTGCGATATTATTGCTAGTACTCTGTTTCTCTCTCTCTCTCT